CTTCCGGTGACTTCAAGCCATGCATTTGTCCCGACACCAATATGCTCTCGTATTGCAACAATTTGCTATCACCTCCTAGTCTGGCCCACCAATCTGGGATCCCCGGGTGTCTCTTCTGTGCAGGACCAGCTCCAAAGGAGGAACGTGGCCCTGGGTTACCCCTTTCCACACCATGCCTCATTAACCCCAGGCTTCCTTATTCCTAGGAACTCCTCGCAAGTTTTCACACAGCTGGGGAGGCAAAGACATGTGAAGTTTCTGTGGAAAGACACCTTTACGAAGGTAGGGTTTTCAAAACAGCCCAAATCTCTGGCGATTTTGACTCACTCACCCCAAATATTGCTCACCCCACACACAAACTGTGGGTCACAGTATCACATAAGAAAAACGTACATCTCTATTTCATCACTGAAACCGGCCAAACTCTTTAGGCAGCTTTATCTGGTTCTTCCAAGGTGGGTAAAATTAACTTTTTCAGGAGAAATAAGACATACATTTGGGGATGGTTACAAGGTGGTCTATCCTGGTGATGCCAAACATGTTCATTTTTTCCCCCCTGCTTTGACTTTATCGGAAGACAACACTTATGACGTTCAAGAGATTCCTGGCTCCGTTTGACTGGGGACTCCAGTAGATGCTAATGGTCTTTATCCAAGAACCGATGCAACATGCAGGTACAGGCTGCAAAGTCTCGTGAAACAAGGCTCTTTCCCCCAGGAACGGGTCATGCTCACACAATGCGCATATCCTTTGAGGGAGCAGCCTCTGGCTCTCTTTCGACTTTGCAACCTCGAAAGTGCTCATGGAAAGCTCTGAAGAGCTTGGTGGCTTACCGGGCATCGCATCCTCCCTGCCCAAAGCCGCACATTTCAATCCTGCACACTCTGGTGGCATTGTACATCCCTGCAGCCCTCATGGCCGAAAGGGAGAGAGAGTCCCCACACCTAAAAAGTCACAGCTTGTGCAATGAACTGTAACATGCTCTCGTTCATCAGAATGGTATACAGAGACCCTCTTCTTTAAGCTCTTAGAGAGGTACAGATGAGGTGTTGATGTTACATATCCAAGTAAAGCATGTTTCTCAACCTTGGGAATTTGAAGATGTGTGGACTTCAACTCCCAGAATTCCCCAGCCAG